AAGGAGCTGTTTTTAATCAGAGATAATATTTGGAAATTCTTTTACCTTGTACAAACTTTAAGAAAGGAAGATTGCTTAACTTTTTATTGTAACATGATTACATCGTATTTTACGCATATAACTTTTTCGATATAGCTTTAACCATAGTTAATCGTAACATAGACAAACTCAATAAGTAAGCAAAAAAATAGCTTATAAGCCCTGGCCTGTGTAGCTCAGTAGATTGAGCGCGGGCCTTCGAACCAAAGGATCACAGTTCGATTCCCAGTCAGGGCACATGCCTGGGTTACAGGCCAGTTCCCAGCAGGGGACGCATGAGAGGCAACCATACATTGATATTTCTCTCCCTAACCCTTCCCCTCTAAAGATAAATAAATGAAATTAAAAAAAAATAGCTTACATACAAGGTGATTTCCTAGCCCTGGCTGGGTAGCTCAGTTGGTTAGGGTATCATCCCAATATGCCGAGGTTGCAGGTTTGATCCCCTGTCAGGGCACATACATGAATTAACCAAAGAATGCATAAGGAGGTAGGCAACAAAATTGATTTCTCTCTCTCCTTCCCTCTTTCCCTCTTTCTCACTAACTCCCCCCTCCCTTCCCTTCTGCATCCTCTCTCTCTAAAATCAATAAAAAAACTTTTCAAGTGATTTCCTAGGCCACCTCAGATTAAAAGGATAGGGACCAGTGCTAGAAGCAGACCCACTGAAAACAGCAGGAGGTGTTACAAAGAAAAGCCATAAGAACAAAATATAAAAACTGGAAGAAAATGCACAGTAGTAAGGGTCATAACCACCGAGGCCATTACTCTACCGGCAAACACGGAAAAGTCATCAGGAAAAGGGTGAAATTGGGTTCATCGTACTTGGCTGTAAGGAGGAGATTGTGCAGTAAAGTGGAGACGGATTTCCATGTATGTCTTTCTCAGAAATGTTAACACTTGAAGGAGTAAACATGGCTGACTAGAAAACGTACTGAATCAGCCATCTAATTCCTTCATGGGCTGAGTAAAGGACCTTCTGCTGTACATGTTCCGGTCCTGTTTGCAAAGCAGCCCTGGCTGGTGTCGCTCAGTGGATTGAGTGCGGGCCTGCGAACCAGACTACTGCGGTTCGATTCCCAGTCAGGGCACATGCCTGGGTTATAGGCCATTTCCCAGCAGGGGACGCATGAGAGGCAACCATACATTGATATTTCTCTCCCTCTCTCCTTCCCTTCCCCTCTAAAGATAAATAAATAAAATCTTTTTAAAAAATAGCAAAGCAAGCTCCCTTTTGGAAATCATTCAGTAATCAACACCCAAAAAAAGGCTATTGTAACATCTTGAATTCCTTTTGAAAGATGAAAGAATAGCACTAGTCTTTTCTATGTATTCTACATAAGAATAAAGATTTTTATTTTCCCCCTGCCTAGTTGCCTGTTACAGGGTTTTTTATTCTCATGTAGTTTGCCCTTGCGTCAGCAGTGGTGGCCTCCTGCTGACCCGGGACCGAGGGGGTGCTGCCAAGCTGTGTGGTCTGAGCTTCGCCCGCTGGGCAGTGGGCGCCGCCGTGAGCGCCTCCCCGCGAGGAGGCGGCATGAACGGTACAAGCTGGCTTATCTGATACAGATTTTTGGCCTCAAGGGATTTATAGTTGTGTGTAAGTTCCAAGAATCACATACATTCTCTCATTGTCCAGTTAGATCACCGACACACTACCTGGGTGGACCCCGGTTACTTGCCCTTATAGAAAAGTGTACGGTAGGACCTTGACTTGTTGGAAGAGAGATTTCTAAGGACCACATGAAGATACTCCTGCCTTTGCTTTCTTTTATAAGCTATTCTCCATTATGTTGTGACATGTCCCCTCTACCAAACCTAACAGCGGGGGGAGGGAGGGCAGGAACACTTTCTCTCTTGGATATTTGGTGTAATTTTTTCCAGTAAGAGTAAGAATTTTATAATTCCGTGCCTCGGTCATGAGTGCTAACATCTCTAGGGCAGTTAGCTCCCACCATTTATATACACGTATATGATTCTTTTCATGGTTTGGCTGTTTCTTACAGCCTTGCTTAATGTATGCCTTTACGCTAAGCTTACTTGTGTCACATTTTTTTTAGAAGCATGTAGGATTGAAAACTAAAATAAAAGTGATCGAACAGCCCTGCTGGTGTGGCTCAGTGGATTGAGAGCAGGCCTACAAACCAAAGAGCTGCAGGTTCGATTCCCAGTCAGGGCACATGCCTGGGTTGCAGGCTCGGTCCCTGGTGGGGGGCAGATGAAAGGTGACCACACATTGGTGTTTCCCTCTCTTTCTCTTTCCCCTTCCCTCTGTCTAAAAATGAATAAATAAAATCTTTAAAAATATGCTAGAACAATTTAAGAGTGTCCATAGCAGTACTCATTTGGCTGTACGTAAGTGCCTGCCTTCACAGCTCGCTGTGCCTTCCAGCGTGTTAGGAGGTAATACCCTAGGGTTTTGACGTGTGATGCACCAGTGTTATTCTTGAAGGGCTGTACTAATGACCTTTCCTGGTCCTCCATCACCGCCAGATATTATGACGATAAAAACATTTTTCTCTGTAAGTGGTTAGTTAGAAAGCCTGTGTCATTGTTGAGTATCTAGGCATTTGAATGGCTGTTATCAGTAATCACACTATTATTTCAGTGGGGTAGCACGTTTCCCCCCATAGTTGCTGCAGACCCTTCACTCACAGCTGTGAACACCTCCTCCCGTGGGGAGTCGGGAAGTGGAAGATCAGGCTACGAAGTGGTTGTGGACGAGGTAGACCTTCTAAAGCATGGGAGGGTTTGCTTGTCATTGACAGAGACTTAAGCCTGAAGGGGAATCCCAAAAATATATGATACAAGTGTAACTTTGAACTTAAGGAAGGAAGATAAATGTGTGTTGTATCCGTTTTCTTGTAGACAGCCAGGTACATCAGCGTGGAAAAATTTAACATTTCAAATGTGGCTGAGTTACAAGAGCATGTAAATTAATGCCAGAGAGCTCAGTTTACATTGTCTTGTTTTGGTCTTAATGACTAATTACTTAATTACTTTATATATATTGGCATTGTGAAACATAGGCTTTTAGTTCTGCCTCTTTGTTTTTGGTATGCTAATTTGTTTTGTTTTAATTATGTGAAGCATAATTGTAGAAAAATTCTAATGTTCTTCATTGACTGTAAATGCTATCATTAAATACACAGTTTTTATGTAGTAAGTGCCTCTCATAGAGTGTTATCTCCTGTTTTATTTATAGTATATTGCAGTGCTTACATTTTCTAAGATTTTTTTGTCTGGAACTCATCAAATTAAGTATTAACAAATTATGGTAATTTAAAATAAACCATAACTACTTTAATATCAGAGGTATGCAGTTATTTTTGCTGAACTACCATGGCTACATATATCAAACTAGATATTCCCAAACTTAAATGTTTAGCATCTTACCCTTATAGGCAGTTCAGCTCTGCATTTCTGAAACATTATTTACTTGTATAATTCTGCCCGAATTATCAGTGAAATAAGTCTGTGTAAGTTAATTGGCCTTACAGATTTGAGGAACCCAAAATCTCGAAGGCTAGGTTAGGAAGTTTCCAACTTTACAAAAAACCGAATGCTCTGGTCATCCACTTATCAAAAGTATATGAAGCACCCGCTCTGTACTGTTGTAGCTGCCGGGGACATTCAGGTAGGTAAGAAACAGGTGCTGTCCTAAGGAACGCACATTGTTACAGGGAAGGAAATCCCGTAGATAGGTCAGTATGATACAGTGTGTTGTAAGTGCTACAGAGAAGCACGTGCAAGGCACAGTGTTGACCCAAAGGCCGGCATAATCTACAAACTGGCCCCCTCCTCTCTGTCTTCTCTCTGGCTTGTGTGAGGCTTCTTTCATCCCTCCTGTCCTTTGCATGAGTTAGGCAAGGAGAGAAGAGAGGCATTAGCTTGGATTGAGCTAGAGAAGCAAGACCCAGGGGTGCTGAGCTCCCTGAGCTGGGACTCAGTAGGGAAGATGCTCATCTCTTCCTTTGTGATCTACTTTAGTGATGTTTGTTCCCACTAATTATAGTCACTCCTGTATTTTAAACTTTATAAGCTCAGGGGCTGCATCTGGTTTTATTTACCAAGGACTTAAAGAGTCAAGTTTTGTGCTGGACACAGGGGCACTTAACATGTGATACAGATTTATAGCTGGCTTAGCTCTGAGGCTCTTTTCAGCTAGGTGCCCACGCTGTCATGGTGCGGAAGCAGATGGGGTGGCGGAAAAAAGGGATTAAGGGGGGGGGGCACTTCACTTCACTGCTCCCCGCCCCCTTTCCTTCTCTGTTTTACTCAGAAAGGCTGAGGGAAGAGGAAGAGAAGCAAATGGTTAGGAGGTAGAACTAGGCAGGGGTGAAGCTATTAAAACATGCAGGATGAGTCGTCAGGTTGGAAGTGCCCGTGGATCAGGAAGTGTTAAGATTAGGGATGCGTGGTCTGGGAGTGCCTCCGGGCACCCCTGCAGCTCAGCCAGGCTCAGCGCCTGCCTCCCTGCTTTGACTCTCCCCACAGATGAAGTTACGGATCTCAGTGATATAGGGAACCCTATGTGTGTACTAAGGCTGTAAAGATTTAGTTGAATTAAGCTCATCTTTCATGCGATTTACTCATAATTCTCAGTATTTCATTATGATGTCTAGCCTCTACTTTAAAAACTTATAAATAGGAGTCGAGTTTTTGCTCCATCCATACAAAAATACAAGTCATTCCGAGGGTCAAAATTATGTTACTATATCATTTGTGAAGTTGTAAGCCGTTGTTATGCTCCCATTTGTCACTGTCCCGTCATTGCCGTGGTAAAAGGAAACCACCATAGTAGTCTTTTGCAGGGGGTGCCGTCACCTGTTGCTTCATTAACGGTCTCTCGTAGTCTCTGGCTTTTCAGATTTAATAATGCCCAGATTTTAAGTGAAAAAGTTAGTTTCAGTATTTGACAAAGTGCATGAGCTCATTTTATTGATCTTTCTGTAAACTAGATGCTTTCCGACGCAGCCCCCGGAAAACTGAGAATTGTCCACGGAGATGTGTTGACATTTAAGGTGGAAAGGGCTTTTCCAGAAAGTCTTAAAAGACAGTGGGAGGATGGTAAGTGACTTTGGAGCGGTTTTCTTTTTTTTTTGTAATTATTTATATTATATATTTATTACAAATGCTATATATTTATATTAAAAATTAGCTAAGCAGAATAAATAGTTGATATGTATTATAATTTTATTCTGCTTTTCCACTTTCTTCCAAAATACAAAATCTATATTACTTTTTCTTAATTCTATAATTAATTTTGTCTTATTTTTCAAATGCTTTGGGTTGTGTTCAAATAAACTTGTCATTTTTAAGATTCCACATAAGGATGGGGCGAACTATGAGGTGTTACTTTTTCCAGATGGTAAACAAAAAAAGGGGTGTTTAGTAAACCAAGCCACTTCCGAACCTTTCTTTTATTTCCATTGTCTTGCACACTCAGTGACCAACCAAGGCACTGGTCATCTGGGTGCCGCACAAGCACGTGGACCTCTTCATGTCCGAAGCAAATTATCTTTTTCCTCAAAGCAGCTCTTTTGTATATTTTTCCTAAGCCAAAAATATGAGGATATTTTCACTGAGTGAATACCAATTACCGAATTTTTTGGACTGTAAGATGCACCAGACCATAAGATGCACCTAGGTTTTAGAGGAGGAAAATAGGGAAAACAATTTTGAAGCAAAAAGTGTGGTAAAATATCTAATAACATAAATAACATAGGCTGCCGCCCTGGACTCCCCCTCCCCCTCCCCCCGAGAGCCAGGTAGGCTGCATTCGGCCTGTAAGAAGCAACCCCTGTTCGCTCCCAAATTTGGGAGGAAATATAGTCCGAAAAATACGTCTTACAGTCTGAAAAATACGGTAGGTAGAATTTTTTCCTTAATTCAAAGCCAATTGTGAAAAAAACATTGCTTTTGAAGGATAAAGTAGAAAATACACAGTCATAGTTTTTCATATGTTTTTATTGGATGCTATTAATATTTAATTCAACTTTACTCTTCAGTAAAATTGTATTCAAAATATATTGATGAAACCATTTCAAGTTGTTTTTCCTCCTGCCAACAGACCCTCCAAATGTACATATTATTGGAAATCTGCCTTTTAATGTGTCAACTCCACTGATAATCCGGTGGCTTGAGAATGTTTCCCAGAGAGACGGGCCTTTTGCTTACGGCAGAACCCAGATGATGCTGACTTTTCAGCAGGAAGTGGCAGAGGTAAGTTTTCATTTTTCCCGGCCATTCTATCCCACGATCAAATTCCAAAACAAAAGAGCACTGTGTTTTCAACGCAGACCGTGTTTCCCGAAATTACTACTCCAGGGCACACACGGAAAAGCCAGCCACGGCGCAGACACACGTGAGGTGTGACGGCGGCGGCAGGCGTAGCTGCTGCCAGCGCTCCGTGCCGAGCCTGAGTGATGTGCTGCTCACTAAGGAGGCCAAGCAGCAAACACAGGACAAGTGGCCACAGCGCGATTGGAGAAAGATGGGAGCTGTGTGACACTGTGATGCGTTACATGCAGGGATGGGCACGTGATGTGCTGTCATTGATACGCTGAACTCAGTGGGGCAGCAGTTAAAAAATGTTAGTAGCTGGGATCCGAGGAAGGGGAGGGGGCTGGCGTCTCCGCCCGGACAGAGACCTGCACTTACTCCCCACCGGCTGTGCCCGCGGGCCCACAGCAGTTGTGCTCCCCGTTCACTCCCTGGGAAGGAAGCCTCCAGGGTAGGTGAGCGGATCTGTTTCTTAAATTGTTTGTTACGGCATACAAGCACAGGAGAGTAGATAATGTGTATACGAGGTCCGTCCGGAAGGTATCCGGCCATGTACTGTGAAAACTAGGCACACTTATTGAAGAAGATATACAAGAAACATTGTACATAGGACGGTGACACCTCAGTCACCTAACAGTAGGCATCTCACACAGTTCTCCCAACAGCCATCAACTGTCCCATCATATTTGCCTGAATCTCATCGATGGTCTGAAATCTCTTTCCTTTCAAAAGTGACTTTAGTTTTGAGAAAAACCAAAGTCACAGGGTGCCAAGTCTGGGCTATGGTGGGGCTGAGTCACCTGGGTGATTTGATGTTTTGCCAAAAACTCTGCAGGAGACATGATGCACGGGCTGGCGTGTTGTCATGATGAAGCTGCCAATCATCAGTAGCCCATAGCTGTGGGCTTCTGAATCATCCAGATAGTTTCCACCTAGGAATAATGTTCAAGCTTAATGCAGAATTTGAAGCAGATTCGTTGCTCTAGTCTCTCAGTCATTTGAATGTGATGCCCACATGGTCCATATGTTCACTCAGTGGCGCCTGCCACCCCCACTGACTAGTACAGTGAAGTGATCATTGTTCACACATGCGCATTCCAGTCCGCTGTCCTTGGCTGCCAGGTTACGTTGATGTTGTGCAAACCATTCTTACTGTGTTAACAATGGCTAGACTTTTTCCAGACAGACCTCGTATATATATATGGTTTAACAAAAAGAACAGCGGAATCTCCACCACCTGAGGCAACTTAATTAAATTGGCAACGTCTTTGACACTCCCTTGGATGCCTCATTCAGGTTATATCTCCTGTCCCCACCTATGGCAAAGGTAATCAATACAGTGGATTCGAGATTTACAGTCTCTGCAGTTTATCACATAGATCCTTTTTTTTATTATTGTTAAGTGTAGTTGTCTTCATTCCCCCTACCACCACTTCTTATATATTACTAATATGCTTTAGTTTTTGTCCACTTTTGAACTTTATACACCTGGATTCATGCAGTATCTTTCCTTTTTATCCTGATTCACTTGTATTGCCTATAGGTGGAGTTTATTTGTATGACTATATACTACCCAGTCTTTGACTGTCATAATTTATCTGCCCTTTCTCCTGTTTTGGGACCCTGAATTAGTTTCGGTGTTTCGTTACTTCAGACAAAGTGGCCGTGAGCATTCTTCTGTTTATGTCAGCTGGAGCAGACAAGCACATAGAAATGCTGGATTGAAAGGGCTGTAAATCTTCACTCTTGCTAGATAATGCAGAATTGTTCTCGCAAGTCATTATGCCTGTTTTATATTCGCACCAACAGTTCACTTTGCTTCATATCCTTGTCAGTATTTGCTTTTGCCAGACTTGCACTTTTTTTGTTAATCTCAGGAGAATGGTGTGTCATTGTGGTTTTATTTTGTCTTTTGCTGATTTCTAATGAAATTGAGCACCGTTTTACATGTTTATTGGCCTTTTGGGTAAGCCCTTTTTTGTGAAGTGCATGCCTTTTCCTCAGTTTTCTGTTGGGTTGCTTCTCTTTTTCTCAGTGATTCAAAGGAGTTCTTCCATATTCTTCTTACTATCCCTGATTAAGTGTGTTGCGGACACTCCACTGTGTGTGTCGTTATTGTCTTTTTACAGCGTCTCTTGAAGAGCTGATGTTCATAATTTTAAATTTATGGTTAGTGCTTTTCGTGTCTTGCTAAAACAATCCTTTCATAGCCTGAGATCATGAAGATATTTTTCTGCGTTATCTTCTAGAAGCTTTATTGTTTCTGCCTTTCGAACTTATGTTTATAATCCCCTTGGGGTTGATTTTGTGGATGATTGAAGGAGAAGCCAGTTTTAGTATTGTTACCATACAGTGCTCATTAACCTAGGGCCATGTATTGAAAAGTCTGCCCTTCACTGACCTACTGATCTTTATCAACACCTGTGACATAATGACAAAACCCTGTGTAAGCACTGGTCTGATTCGACACAAGAAGAAAGAGGGTGTGAAATCTCGGAAACAGGTGGTCTAACAAAGATGGAGGGACTCTTCGGGAAGAGCATTCAGTTCTCATCAGCAGATCAAAAATTTGATAAAGCACCTATCATGCTTGCATATATTGAACGTTAGGGAGAATTTAGGACTGAATTAGTGATAAATAAACAGAACCCTAAAGACAGTAGGGATTGCAGTAAATAAAGCACGTCATTATTGGAAAGAGATGTAAAAAGGATTTGGAGATACACTGTTTATATAACATCTGGAAATGTAGTTCAGTTCCAGGGATCACCCTGAGAAGCGGACCTACGAGAATGGGTAGGGAGATTTGGAATAGAAGGGTGTCAGAGAAGCCTTGCCTGGGGCCTGCTGAAATGTCTTGTAAAGCTCCGATCCTCAGAGCGCTGCGGCACAGCCTGAGCGGACGGAGGCCAGACGGGAAGGCCCAGAACCAGATGACTTAATGCAGAGTGATGATCAAATTATAAATCAGAGGAAGAAAGAATCATTTAGCAAATGCATGCACACTTCATTAACTCTTATGAAAACATTTAATAATTCACCATATGTCAAAATAAATTCCAATTACTGTGTCTTCAAATTGACCACACATTTCTGCAGTGTCTAAGCTGTTGTGAATTCTGCTCAATTTATTTTTCATTTCAGATGTATTTTTATTTCAAGAAGTTCCATTTGGATCTTATTATATCTTCCCTTTCTCACTGTATGTTCATGCTTTCATTGGCATATTTGTGCGTATGTATTACACACAGAGCTGTTTTAAGATCTTTGTTTACTAATTTCATCACCTCTGTCATTTCTGTACTGTTTACCAGCTGACTTTTACCCCTCATTACTATGGGGCTCATTTTTCTGCTTCTTTGTAAGCCCCGCAATTTTCGACAAGACATCAGATCTTGCGAGCTTTTTGTCTTATCAATGTTGGTGGGAGCTGGATGTCGTTGTATCGGGTTGAGTGGTGGGTTTTGTTCTGGCCCATAGATAATGCTTGCAGATTGTTTTGAGGTTTCCTCTTAAACTTGGTTATGACTGATCCAGAGTGGCCATTAATCTGAGGCTAATTAAATCCCGCTACTAAGTCCCACCCTTTGTGAGGAATTCCTCCAGCCCCCTGTGTATCCTAGGGCTCTCCCCTGTTGCTGTTGGGGGTGCAAACTGTTTCCAGCTCTTTGTGAGTCCATTTTCTCCTGCCTTCTGATGCTACTTTCTCCATCCTCTCAACGTCCCAAGCCTTGAGGAGTTAGCCTCATGTACTCCCTGGTCTGCGTTCAGCCAGAGACTTGAAGAGCCTATCTCAGGAGCTCTCGCTCACTTCTTCCTCTCTCTCTCTCTGCCCCCACCCCGCACTCCCCACCCTGTGTGTGTCCCCAAGTCTCTAGCTGTCTGCCCCACGAGTTCTGGCTGCCCAGCCTCCCAGGGGTCCAGCCTCTCTGCTCAAGTCAAGGAGACCCCTGGGCTCCGTGGGTTCCTCCTTATGCTGCAGCCCAAGAACAGCCCCTGCGAGCTGGGCAGTCACAGGCTCACCGCCTTTCTCTCTCGTGATCACAGCCCCTCACTACTTGCTGTCCAGTTAGGAAAACTGTTGTTTCGTGTGTTTTATTGAACCTCAGTTGCTTCTGTAAAAAACTTTTTAACATCAGAATTCCTTTGCAACTGGATTATATGATTGCATTCGTCCACTTCTTTAGGTTCCTTCCTCTCAAATAATGTATGAGGGTATCCTACGGATTTTATCTCTTAGGCCCACCCCTCTCTCTTCACCTTGTTCCCCTTGACAGCAGTGACTCTCCGCTGAGTGATCCTGACACACTGCCCTCAGGGCCATTGTTGGTTGTCACAGGGCAGGAGCACTTCTGCTGTCTGGCGGGTAGAGGCGAGGGGTGCTGGTAAATGTCCTTCTGTGCGCAGAACGGCCCCCCACAACAGAGTCACTTAGCATCACCCAGCCCCAAACGTCAGTACTGCCCAGCCTGAGAAACCGCGTTAGAGTGTGTGGCCATAAGGCCCTCGCAACCACGTAAGACCCTTTACGGTGACACCCCCACTTTCTGGAGGCCTTCATCACCCCCCGCTCATGGGTCTGCGAATTCTCTTATGTTGGTTTGAACTGAGCTCATGCTAATGGTTTTCTTTGTGTTTTCTCAACCTTTGAATTTGTCCTTGGATAGTTTTTCCCAGCTGACATGATTATTATGGTACTCCTGTTCTTGAAAAACACAATAGAGTTGCCAAACACCGCACACGCTCATTCTTTTGGGAGAGAGAACAAAGGCACAGAGGCTGAAGAGGCGGAATAGTATTTCCGTGACTCAGAGAGTCAGTAGTGGTTATTAATGGTGTTGCTCCCGCACCACATGCAATTATTTTTCTTTAACAAAAAAAGCTGATTTTACTTAAATTTTAGTATGAATTTTGAAGAGAATTTACACTAAGTCTATAATTTAAGAAATGCCTTAGAAGTATGGGTAACACTGGTTCTCTGACTGTTTTCCAGTTTTGCAAGTGAAAGTTTCAGGAGGAGAATAAATAACATCATTTTCTTATATATTCTCTGCTCTTGACACGGTCATGTTTGTAATTTTGTACTTTAGCCACAGAAAGCACTTTTGAACATTTTCTCTGTTTGACTTGGTGAATTATAAAACAAACACAACCCTCTTCTTTCTGTCTAGGACTGCAAGGTCTGGATGTGTGAATTCAGCTCATACACCTTAAGGGACATAGAGACAGTTTAAAGTTACAGCTTATACAATAGAATCAGACTGTGGGGCAGTAAATGAGACCGTAACAAATCTCATCTAGCCTCACTGTATAGATGATGAAACTGAGGCTCAAAGTCAGTTAATGTTTTCCAAAAGGTCATGGAGCTAGTTCGGGGAAAGCCGAACTTGAACACAAGCCACATGTGTTCTGCTGAAGGAATGATGTTTATCTTCTCCATGTGGCCCGAAGGTCTTTTCTTTCCAGTCCAGCATCAGCCTCCTCACCTCCTGCCATCTCCAGGGACCCCGGCTGTTTAACAGTCACGTCCCCAGCAGTGGGGGAGTTAGCTCTTCATTAACATGTACTTCTCTTTGTCTCTAATGTGTGGCTGTTTCACTTCTCAAGTATAAGCCAATTTTTTCTACTTGTACCCGAAATTATTTTAGATGAGTAAGGGGGAAAAAAGTATTTCAGCAACACTGTGCTTGTGAATTCTTTGACCCCATCTTTCCCCTTAGACTCAGAATGCTTTTAAAAGCTCAAAGGTTAGACATTTCCTTTCACTGAAAAAGTAACTGCTTTGGTTTCCTGGCCTTTTGCTGTTGTAATCATCTGTCTTCTAGTGGAGTTTGAATTTTCATAGCTTTACCTAGAATATGTGTATCACCGAAATAACAAATCATCTTCAAGGGGTTGACTGACCGCTTACCTGTTAAGCCAGTTTCGAATGAAGTCCTGTGCAGAGCTTTCTGGTCTGTGGCTCGAATTTCTCTGGGTGAGTTAGGGCGGATGTGTGTGCTGCTGTCTTCTAAGTTGAGCCGTGTGGTTCACACGTTCTCATTTCCACACCATGGCTGCCTCTGCTCCAAAGACTGTGTGGGTCACGTTGAAGGTCGGGACCGCCCCTCGGCTGCAGGAGTGGACACACCGCACTCCAAGTGAAACGGACCGCGTCCTGTCTTCATGGCCCATCATCTCACTCTCCGTGCGTCACTGGCTTGCTTTTTGGTCAAAGTAATTTTTCCGTCTCTTTATTCACCTGTGGAAACATACATTTCAGATGTAAAGTGGCAAATTGAAGAAAACTCAAGATGAAATAATAATTTTTTAAATCTGGGCATTCCTTTTGGTTTATTTTCTAGTTTTGTGATTATGTTCACGCTAGATTTTAGTTTTATACAAAACTGCTTTGACTTGTGCCAATTTGCACAGTGCATTTTAAGTTAATGTTTACCAGTGGTAAAATTAAGCTCTTTTTAAATCAAGAAATAGAAATAGTTTTGACTACTTGATCCATAAACTTATTTTTTTTAACTTAAATCTGTACTTCCATTATTTGTCTCTGTATTTTTGGTATTTGCTTGAGAATACTGTATTTTGCCATGTGTTATGTGCACCCACATTTTTGTGGGCATCATAGATGGGATTATTGTACCCATGTACAATGCGCATCCTATTTTTCCCTGAAAAATTTGGGCAAAAAGTGCACATTATACACAGCAACATGTATAATGTACCAGGGGTACATATAGTTCTTGGTTTCACATTTTAATAAGAGTTCATTCTGTCAGATACACTGTGGTACCTCATCCCTTGTCATAGACTCAGCTTCCCAGTCATTTGAACTGTCCAAATACAGATGAGAGCCAGATAATTTAAAATAAGAAGAAGATGAGGGGTGGTTTTGAATAACAAAACAGATGCTATACATAATCTACAGCCATCTTGGCCCATAGGAAGTTTCCTCAGCATCTCAAATTAAAACCTATTTTTAAAATTTCACTTAAGACAGAATTGTCAGATTATGTGGTTTTCATGCCCAGCTTAGAAGCAGCAGAGGAAAAGGGGCTGTTAGAGGTCAGCACAGAACAGTGAAGCAGGAAAGCGGAACTCCGGCTCGTGGACAGGAGTCTAAAAGCGCTGCTAGTTCAGGGCCAGGTGCACCGCCCCCACCCCCGGCCCCAGCACTGCTGCGGGAATGCTGGCCCTGGGTCTCGTGAGAGCGTCGGAAAGTCTAGTGAACTCGCAGAACGCAGGGAAGTGCGATACATTTTAGAAAGGTGAATGTGCCTATTTTTTTACCCTCAGCCAGCATTGTCCAGTCTTAACATATTGCCATTTTTCTAATCTGTTTTAAGAAGTAAAATAATGCAGATATGTTTGGAGCGCTGTTTCCTTTATTTCCCTCCCCTGAGTTGTGCTGTGTTACAATGTGTATTCATCATTTCTGTGCATGGTTTTCACTAGCACTGCAAATATAGATACATTCACACACACAAAATAAATAACCTTTTGAAACTTTTATATAAATGAAGCCATACTGTACATATTTTCCTCCACTTAATTATTTTTTACTCTATTTTGGGGTCCATGTTGGTAACCCTTGTTATTCATTTTGACCGTTATTTAGTATTCCATTGTCAGAATGACCACGATTTACTTATTCAGTCACCTGCGGTGGACCTTTGTTTTTACAGTTTTTATATTGCACATACTGTTGCAATGAACATTCATTCGAACACACGTGTGACCAGACAGACTGTGCTCCAGGACGAAGTCCTGAAGGTAAACCTAGGGGGTCACGCGGGTGTACTTGGCCTCCGCTCCTCTCCGTGCATGGTCCAGTTGTGGTCCCAGGGGCTTGGACCAGTCCCCTACCAGTCCCCCTCACAGGGGGTGTCGCTCCAAGCAGTCGCCGAGGCTAGGTTCTCCCAGGTCCTTTCTTGTGCCGTTTAAATTCTGTGCATTTTATGGATGTGAAATTGTATCTCATGATGGCTTTAATTTGCCTGCCACTAATTTGCAGTGTGGCTGAGCGTAGTTTATAGTTCACTAGAGTTACTCTTACATTTTCTGTTCGCCGTTTGTCTTTCGATTGTGATCAGACTGGGTTGACTGTTTGCTGATGACGCCTTGTCGCCCTCCCCTAGAGACTGACAGCCAGCACCGGGAGCAGGCAGCGCAGCCGCCTCTCCGTGATGGCCCAGCACCTCTGCCACGTGCGGCACGCCTTCACCATCCCAGGCCGGGCCTTCGTGCCCAAACCGGAGGTCAGTCTCGCTCTTTCTTTCTCTGTCCCAGAGTCGGGATTTGAATTGTGTTCTCTGCTCCTCCCAGGGTGTGTCACAGGAGATTATCTCTGGGGTCTAGTCCTGGGACATGCAAACTGCACCATAAGTTTTTCTTTCCCTCTCCCGAATAAGAAGCATGAAAGTTACAGTATGAATTTAAAAATGACAGGTTTTAGTCTGATTTTTCTCCCGCTTATTTAGAAGGGTTAAATGTCCACTTTTATCCATGTTGCCCTGGTGGTGATACTATTATTATTGTTGTTGTTGTTATTCCTTTTATGCCTAGATTATCCTAGTATGAAAGGTAAGTTATATGGTCAGCCATTCCTCAAAAAAAGGAATCAATATGTGTGTGTGTGTGTGTGTGTGTGTGTGTGTGTGTGTGTGTGTGTGAGAGATTTCTGTTAGAGACTTCTCACTAATGTTATATCAAACATTAGTTTTCGTGAAATTTTTTCCACTTTTTTTGAGAGACCCTATTTTGGTAATATTACTTACAATGATCTCAAAAAATAGCTGAATATTAAGTTAGACTTTGACTATTATATCTATATACCACTAATTACAGAAACATAAGTGCTAATTACAGAAATAAAGTTTCTCTGCCAAAATTAAATTCAATAAACTGGCATCTGTACCACAGGACATGTGCCATAAAAACTCATCTGTTTCTTCTCTGAATGGAACATCTGCATGAAAGCCCTGGGCCAGGCGGTGGGGGGAAGGCAGACAGACGTTGGGGGGCTGCCCGCAGGACCCACAGCCAGTGCAGAGCCGAGTTCCCCGGGCTCGCCGCAGAGTTTCCCTTACATCATCTGGCATTCAAGTAGATGGCGCAGTAAAATTGTCCGTGTGTTTTTTAGGTTTAGAAGCAGATTTTAAGTTTAGCATGGGGCGCTGATAGTACTGGACCTGTGTGTACATCTTGAAGTGGGGTCCGAGAAGGCTCAGTGTTCCTCGTCACCACCTCCCGCTCCCTCTGCGCTGCGTCTGCCGCACAAGGGGAGGCTTCTTGTGACTGTAGGGTCCAGACCATCTCCCGTTTACAGACAGACTTCACGGTCGCGTCTTCTAAAGCAGCTCCGAGAACTCACTCTGAGTACCACCTCCTTGCAGCATCTCAAGGCTTCAGACATTAAAAATTACTTCTTTCAAAACAATAGATCCTAGTAGACCCTAGGCAGAATTTGACAACTGAGATGTGATGTAGGTCATCACCAAATTTCCTACATTTGTCCTTTCAGGAATTTTCTGTGCTAGAACAGGTGCCCACTGTATTGAAGAGAACCAAGAGATTATATAGCTTGCTTTTTGCTTCTTGTCATGCAAGAAGATGTGTATGTAACGTTTTGAATAATGCCAGACCCAATTACATCAGAAACCAAGATCTTTATCTTTAGGCTTTTTGTAGTGTTAGTTATTACCATAACCCAGAAACTTTAGGCTTCCTAATTGTTCCGAGGATTTCTTAGAGTAGATGTTAGAGTATTTGTAGTGGAAAGTTTCTAACTCTTTGTTTTAGTTACCTTGTCGAGGGCATTTGATGGTGTTTAGAAGTTGCCAACTTTTTTGATTTAGGGATAAGGTACCCTTGTTAGTTTAGGAGTAAGGCTTTATGAAAATTGATTATTTGTGGGAAAAGAGCTAGCTATGTTTTTTATTTTCTTTTTATTGAGATATGTTTGCTTTTTGGCAGAGTAAACATACAATTTTCTTGACATGCTTTTCATCATATTGAAAATATTACGTGCAGGAATTTATTTGTAATCTAGGAAAGCAGTTATTGAGGAGAGAGAACATATTATGGTAAAGGAAAACAATAAATCAAAGGATTAAATTTTAGTCCTTAAAGAATTTGCTGTTGCTTTGAAGTAGTTTTACCACATTAGAGCAGCTTACAAATACCCTGAAAAAAAAACCTAGAAAATATTTGGCTAATAGTTACGTTGAGCAAATTTTTAGAAAAGTTTGTTTTCTTAAGAAAGAGGAAGAGTTTTTACAGAGATGTTAAAATAATAGTGCAACGTGGCCCCTCTGGCTGAACACTCCATGTGCACAGAGCGACGATCGAGTAGCTGCTGTACACGGGCAAGAGCACAGAGGGCGCAGGCAGAGGCGGAGGCGGGCTCCTGGGGGACGAGAGAGAGGGGTTAGTTCTCTGCAGGTGCTCCTGCAGGACTAGAATTCAGTACTTACTCTCAGGCAGAACTCTTTCAGAACTAGACATAGAATTTCTTTCGTGATACGACAAGATGGGTTTGTTTCTACCCACCTTAGGATTTTTCCTGTGAGAATCTGTTAGCCCTTCTGTTCGTCAGTCTTTAGGTTAAACTAACTCAGTCACCTTTACTGGCAGAACTTTCACTACCAGGGAACTACTGTGATTCTCTTCTGACTAGTTGGACAAAGTTCTTAACAAACCCTTCACTCTCATTAACTTCTCTAGTGCAGTCCCTGAACTCTGAACCCCAAATTCTTTTCTATCTACAGAGAACACAGTCTTGTAAAATCAGATTAATTGGTCTACTCTAAAGTTTCTTAAACTACTAGAGTTTGTAGCATATGGATTTGAAGTTAGAATTTTTAAATTTTAATATTTTCATTTCGCTGTTTAGTTAGTAAAAGTGTTATTACAAGACAAAACGTCCCTTTTCTAGTTCGAAATTAGAACTAGAAAATGCTTCAACCCTGTCTGGTATGGCTCAGTGGATTGAGTACTGGCCTAACAACCAAAAGGTCTCTGGTTCCATTCCCAGTCAGGGCACATGCCTGGGTTGCAGGCCAGGTCCCCAGTAGGGGGCGCTCAAGAGGCAACCAACCACATATTGATGTTTCTCTCCCCATCTTTCTCCCTTTCCTCACCTCTCTCTAAAAATAAATAAGTAAAAATTGTTTTTAAAAAAGAAATAAAATGGTTTCACAAAAGAATAAAACTTTTAAGTTTCTCAAGCTGACCCCTAAAGATCCCTGAGAACCTGTGTATTTCTGGGGTCCCACAGTAATTTTTTCTCCAGCTAAGTTTGCCCATTACTGGAGTTTGATAAATACTGAGCTATTAACTATTCCTGCAAAATTCTGCCATCTATTTTTCTTTTATAAATTGTGGTCATGGGTCTGGTAACCTAGCATCCTCCCCAAAGCATGGGCAGGTGTTACATCCAACTGTGTCCTATATACTCCAGCCTAGTAGGAAAGTCACTGAGCTGTAACGTGACAATTGGAACATGTTCTTTTGATTGACAGGATAGAGGCAGCATTTTCTGGTGGAAAAACTAGAAGTACTGTGAAGTCAGGTAGACCGGTTGGGATTCCAGCGCTCCTAGTTATGAGGACTTGCTCAGGTTAATAGGTTGAGTTTTAATACATCATATTGGGGCAGTAACCCTTGAAGGATTGAGATAATCAATGCAAAGTGTGTAATATGAGCCTCTGGCACCACAAGGCAGTTAGTGGAAGATAGATGTTACTGTTTTGAATAAAAACAAGTATTTATGAACCAACTTGTAATATCTTGCTGCAGGGTGGATTATTTTTTTTCAAACATAAATATAATTTATATCTGATTCTGCCTATTAACTATAGTATGTGGAGCATGTTACTCCCAAACATGTTGGAGATTCAAAGCATAAATTGGGTCAATATCATTTTAAATGAATTAATGACAGTATGCCCGTGACACAAAGGGAAGGTCAGGACCTGGGGCAGCCAAGCCTGACCTCGGAGGACAGCACTGCAGAGGCGTTCTGGCTCGTCCACAGCTGCGCGGCCTCGTCCTCTGTGTGAGAGGAGCCTGCTCTGGGAGCCGTCGGCACCCACGCCCCCGGCTGCCGGGCGGTGGGTGCAGGGCCCGGCAGCAGGAGCTCGGCCAGGGTGCCAACAGCAGCTGTCACCAGCAGGTTCCTGGTGACAGACAGAGCTTTCGGAGCCCTTGTGTGGAGTGGCCTTTTCTGCCTTGGTTGCTGGGAAGTTCTGAACTAAGTTTCACATTTAATTGCTTTAACAGCCTTCAGCCAGGATTATTTAATGCCATTCTTCCTCTCTTCCTTTTCCTTGTAACTTTGGTCATTCACTTTTATCCTTGACTTTTATACTTGACTTTTATACTTATTGTACCAGTATTGTTAGTATAAGTTGCCTTGAATTTTTTTTAAATGGGTGAGTCTAAAAAATCTGTAAATGTGTGTTGTAAAAGTCAGTGTTATAATTGTAGCAAGTTAAAGAGTCATCCTTTTTAAAAATCAGATAAAATGAGTGTTGAATAAGAATAAGCGTGTTTACTATTCCAATCTAATTTAATTCTAGTTATGTATTCATAACTATTCAAGAATGAGATAGCAATAAGAATTATAATTCTGAGAAAGAAACAGAGTTGCAGTTTTGCAGGTGACAGTTTTCTGTATGTATAAAATACAGTGAAATGAAGAAAGTGTCAGCAGGGCAGGGAAGGGACACGTGCAGGGCACTGCACAAGCACAGGCTGCGGCTGCATCCTCCAAGTCCACGGAGGGGACGTCTGCTCTGGACGTGCCAGAGCAGACGGCGGGAGACACGGTGATGAGAGAAATCACTGCGGCAGCCTTGTGCAGGAAATGAGAAGACACCGAATCCATACCCCAAACAGAGCTGACTTCTGCCTGCCTACCCCATCCCCACCCCCCACCGCTGATACACTCATCTGCTCAGGTCAAGTCATCCAAGCCTAACCCCGAGGTCATCTTAAGTACTCCCCTTCCCCTTACTTTCACCCTCACAACCAGCCGCTAGTTACCAACTTCTGACACCCCCTACACCCTACCTCTTAAATCTAGCTATTCTTACATCCATTCTCCTGACCTAATTGAAGTCTGCATCCTTTTTGCCAGAATTACTAGGTGATTTCTTCAGTTTTACACACACCCCACCCCCGCTCCATGGGTGAAATAAACATATTCTGGGAAGTTTTTGGCATTTTGGGTTTTTGGGGTTTTTTTGGTGGGGGTGGGCGGTATTCTTTTAGGAACTTTTTAATCAAACAAAAAGGAATGTTTATGTGCATTCAAATAGATTAGACCAGGGTTTCTCAGCCTCGTCACTATTGACATTTTGGTCCAGCTGGTTCTTTAGTGCTGGGCTCTCCTGTGCATTGTGGGATATTTAACAGCATTCCTGGCCTGCACCCACCAGATTCTAGTGCCATTACCCAGGTACGACAATGAAAAATGCCTCCAGGCATTACCAGGTGTCCACCCCCCGTGGAAAACCACTGCATTAGACCAAGAACCTTTGGGCTGCAGTCACTACGCACTCACCTTGTCTCAACACGTTTTGTTTGTATTGCCTCATTTAACCCTCGCAACCCTGAGTAGATACTGAAACCCCCTCTGTCACATGAGCCAGCAAAGACTTGGAGCAAGTGATGTGTGCCGTGTGACCGGCGTCCTGTGTGACCCTACACACAGCCGCGTCACTCTGGGTGACTCCCATCTCCCCAGCTTCCCAGCTGTGTGACCTTGGGCAAGTCAGGTAACTGAACCCTTTCTCGGCCTCAGGTTCCTGTAAGCTGCTAAGCATAGTGCCTGCCTCCTAGGCCCTTGGGAGTTGACACCAGTCCGTGCGTGCGGAGGAGTCCGGTCAGGGCCGGCGTGTCATAGTGAGCACTTGTAGTGGCAGGTCACGGCGAACACACGGGTAAGGAACATACCTTGTCTCCGAGTCAGGTTGGAGACGGCGTCTTAGACTCGTGGTCTGTGTACCGGAGCCTTCTCTGAGAGCACAGAAATGGAGGCAGCGACCTTCCTCAGGCTGTCTGGTCGAGTTCCCACAGGAGATCCTGGGAGGCCCCAGAGGGGGGTGAAGTGCGGGCAGGAGAGCGGTGAGCGGGGGGAGGCCCGGGGGCGATGCAGAGAGCGGGTCCTGGAGCACACGCAGCATCTCGTCCCCACCGTTTCCGGTCTGGGTAGAATCGGGCCCTTATTTTGTATCACGTGGCTGCTTTTCTGAGTGTTCAGCCCCTCCTGTGTGTTTAGGGAGAAAATACTCTAAAAATAAATAAAGGTTATGTTGAAGTATATATAAACTTACATAGAGTGTATGTATAGTAAACTTTTAGTGCAGGACTGTGGGTACATAGACCGCATGTGAAGCCAGTCACTTGGAGCAAAGCGAGCGGACCACACAGGTGTGGAAACCATCCTGTCACGTGAACTGGCACTAGAATAGGCCTGGTGTCAGAATTACTTCTAATATATCTGCTTAGAAAATATGTTGAGCATTAAAAAGGAATGCATACTTTAAATAATCATTTAAACTCCTGTTTAAATGATTCCTTTTTTAATCCATCCATGAAAATAGCACCTTTTCATTTTAACGATTCATTAATAGCTAATGACATTGTTGAAGAAGAGAATGAAGATTTGCTAAGTAAAACGGGCATGAAATATTTTAGTCTCTACTTCTGTATGAACAAATGAAAGTTGTTTTCTTACAGAAAAGATAGTCTTCCCTTTCCTGAATTACTAACGCACAAGGAAACGCTGTGCATTGCGCCATGAGCCAGGATTAAGCTCGAATTCGCAGAGAAATTAACAGAAACAACAGTGTGCAACGTTTCATTCGCACCTCAAAGGATCCGATGTTTATTTTCTTTTTAAAATATTTGAAATACATAAGATAACTTAGATTTTTCAAAGCATTTGTTATACTTTAAAAATTACTTTCACATCAGTTAACTCACTGAAGCAGTTCATTTATAAGAGAACAACAGTGTATTTGTTAATGTGGATCAAACCAGAACATAAAATGACAACTTAAAAGTAACTCTGAATGAGAGATCAAACGAGATGGGGAAAAATCTGAATCGTCCTGATAAATGAGTTAACCCAGAGAATCCTGTTGCTGGCAGCAGAAGGGGGACCTGTTTGCACATATTCACACCAACATACTGGCAGCTCTTGGCTTGTGCCTAATGCTCAAAAATCCCTAGAGACTTGAGTGTGGTTTGGTTTGCTTTTGCTTTGCTGTGGTGGCACTTACCAGAGTCTGCCCTTCAATTCTGCCTCATCTTTGAATGTCGTATTGTCAGCTCTCACAAATGGATGTGGGTGTTTTTCTAAAATAAGAAAAGGGACAGGGAGGTCACAGGTGGGGAGTTGGGTGGCTGGTTAGGGCAATGCTGGAGCAGGCGGCCAGCTCTTCTGCCCCTGGCACCATGCTGCGGAGGGGCTGCGGACAGAAGCAGGTGCCTGTGGTGGCACCACTCAGGTGGCAAACAGAGGCGGCCCCTGGGGTCACACCCTGAGGTCACACCGGGGCAGGGTGCTACTCACACTCGGCATTTTATGAAACCCAATTAAGTGCCAATTCAGAAAATGTACCGACAGGTTATCTTAAGCAAGAAAAAGCCATCAATTAATTGCCTTAGTAATATGATCAGAGCCTCTTTCAATTATAAACCTTTAGATAAAACATGAAAATAGGGATGGAAGAATAATCTTACAACAGATATAACTGTACATGAGAGTTTGTTGGCATTTTAAATGACCTTGCCATTTTTTTAAATTTATTTTTTCAAGCATTTCAAACCTTTGTAGAGAAAGTTAAGCATAATTCTGGTATATATTTTTTTAATCTAAAAGACAAAAGTCCCAGCAGGCCTCTAAAAATTCCATGTGCATTACACAGTGATTTACACATAATCCTTCAGGTTGTACGCTGAGTCGCCCTCCGGCCTCGTGCTGGGCGTGCGCTGCTGCTTGGGTGGGGAGAGCCAGGCCTCTGGATCTCTTTTCACGCAGGAAGTGCAGAAAATGGTGCCAGAGGTCAGCAGCAGCATGGCCGAAATGAATCCGACGTAGACAGCTCCTCCAGGTTCATGTTTGTTGCTTTCGGGAACTGTCAGATCCAGAAAGGTGGTGATGATCTCCTTTGTGTACCACACTGTGGGTATTAAACCGGAGATCCCTGCAGACATGAGACAGACGCCCCCAGCAAAACAAGTGTGACTCTTGGTCTCTCTGTCCCCTCCTAAGCGAGTGCACTGCATCCCCACCGTGGAAGTGCAGATTCCCACAGCAGACAGGACACAGGCCAGGACCATGGCGGCCCGTGCGGCCTGCACGTAGGTGGGGAGGGACAGAATGGAGTACTTGAGGGTGCAGCTGAACATGCCGGTGCTGTAGCACGTGCAGTCCATCCACAGCCCTTGCAGCTGGACGATGGCCGTGATGATGTTGGGGCCCGTGTCCACAGTCACCTTCCAGTTGGGCAGCACGGTGGCCACCAGCACTCCAGAGACCCCGCAGAAGGCCAGGGCAAAAGCGAGGAGCTGGATGCGCGCCAAGCCCATGACTTCACCACCGTCGGCTTTGTCTGCCCAGGAAATCCTCGTGCTCAACTGCAATGGCTGCTGGTCAGAATCGTCGCTGTTGCCATGCAGTGGAGGACCAAGTAACAGAGGCTGTGGAAAGAGACAAAGTCAGGTTCGAAGGAAAGAAAGAAGAAGCAGAAAGGCCTCTGTGCGTGGTGGGGACCAGTGCCTCGGCCCTCAGTGGGTGAGGGCGCAAGTGCCCAGGGCCAGCGCTCACAGCAGGCCTTCAGAGGCTCCGTCCTGCGCGGACGGGGTGGCCAGCGCTGGGTGTGTGCCGGAGAGGAAAGGGCGGTCCACTTTGTCTTCTGAGAACGCCAGCTGTACTTAGTTGTCTGCAGAGTGGTCCTGTAGCCTTGCGAGGAGACCCAGGCCTGCCAGGCTGCTGCCATAAGACCTGCTCAAGAACTTGATAGCATTATGGGTTTTTAAAAATTGGATTTTTAAAACATTTTGATATTAAGTAAAATACTCTAGGCTATAAAGAAGAAAAGAATAGTTTAAATCTACCCCTTAAAATGAAATATTGATATACACTGGGAAGGTTTTAAGTGTTCAGAAGCATTGATTAAGCACCCACCGTGTACCAGCATGTGACCCGGTGAGCTGAGGAAGAGAGGAAAGTAGCGGAGAGGAGTCCTCTGGACGGTTATCCCCGGTTCTAGTTCATAAACGTTTGCAATGTCCTCACCTGCGGTGCCACTTCTTTCACTTCAGGTACGAGGTACTCAGAACGGAACAATGAAGCTACTGTCCTTTGCTCTGAGAATGTGAGATCCTTTCTAGTTGGGACCAGAATCCCTTCCTGACCCAAATGCCGCCGTCAGCCGTAAAACCGGTTATTCAGAACAGTTCCCAAGTAGGGACATCAAACCTCGAAAATACGCACAGAAATAGCCACACCATTACTTGTCCGTGAAATGATACCAAACATAATTTAACACTTTATTTTCTCTCTCTTTTTTTTAAGAGGGAAAAGTTAGCACTTTGTGGCTTTACTGTGTTTTAATCTGGCAGTACTCACTGCCCCCTTTGAGAAATGTACTGGTTTCCGAAATACAGCAATACCAGCTTTTGTGTGTTTCTGAATTAAATTTTGAATGATGTGTTAAAGCGGCTCTATTGTGATTCACATATATTTGGCAAAAGGCAGTGTGGGTCAAATCTTGGCTGTCTGGAACCTTTCTTTGCCTCAGTATGCTGCTCTGGAAAATGGGGAGGATTATACTACCTATATGGTGGAGTTAAATACATCAATGCATTTTAAGGGCTTATCTACCCTCATAGAAAATATTCAATAAATTGCAATTGGCATTGCTATTAATGTTTTTATTTTATATCCTATGACAAATACATGTCATGTGATCTTTATTTTGTATCACATGGCAGTTTCTTTTTTCTCTTCTTTGGGCTGATTTAATTCATTGGCATAGAATCTTAGAGCTGAAAGAAACCATAGCTATAATGTTCTACATCGTCCTTTTTTTTTAGATTAGCAGCCTGTACCTATTTCCCGTCACCCCGGTGCTTGTGGTGAAAGCCTCCCCTGGTTGCTTTCTTCCTGTGGAAGGCCAGGAACGCGTTCTGTCCAAAGGCACAAAGCACCATTACCTATCAGCTTCACTCACTCCCTTTCCCACCAAAAAGGAAAAAAAGCCTCCAGAGGGTGTTAATTTGGCAAATGACTTAGCTCTGGAGGCGCACCAAGGAGGTTGCTGCCTGGCTTTTGTGAAGTACATGCCTATATTGAAAGTACGAACTTGCCTGTGGTTCTAACAGTGATTCTCTAAATCCTGGGCTGTCTGAATTCCATTGCTCTGTTTTTGTTCGTAGTCTTAACATGTGAAATTTAGAATTTTATGAGAGGATTTCCCTGAGATTCTGAATTCTAAAGAATCAGATTTACTGTAAAGATCTGAGGGCCTAAGATTTACCTGCCTCATACACCTTATTTCTTTACATACTGAGAACAGAACAGAAGTTAAAGTCTCTAAAAGAAAATAAAGGCCATGTTTATAGTTTTATAATAGCTGTTTGCAGGTTTGGGCCGAGAGCTCCAGCCAGCTCACTAAATTACGCCTTCCCCGACCCTTTTCCACGTAGGGGCTCTTTAAGAGGCAGACTGCTGTTAACATTCTCTGACAGCATCTCATTTCTTTCTTTTTACTTTGGCTGAATAACCTTGATGTGTTGATCCGTCTGTGCTCAGCTTCCCAATTATAACCCTTTTTTTCTCATTAGCCAATACATTTTGTAAATTTCAGTGTAATTCAGACTTGCAGACAGCTTGTTCATCTTAATTAACAAGTACTGGCAGTGATAAATTACAGACGGCCAGAATCAGCGTAAACAATATGACATTGCATTCAGTTAGCATAGCGCTCGCTTATGTCAGATATTGGACTTAAATGCTTTCTTCTGTCTACAGAACTCAGGCAGAAAGAATTTGTTCTCCCAAAACAAGGTCACTGTTCTGTTTCTTCTGTAAAAACACTCTGGCATCTTAGCTGCAGTGCTATGAAATCTTTTGTTTCTTCCCCTCTCTGGTCGCAAGCACGATCCCGTGTGAGGCCTGTTCTCTCGAATTTCTCTCGGGAGCCGATAAAGGCACACTTTGTTCAGATGACTGTGCTGGTGGCGGGGGTACCGTGGCAGTCAGCAAACTTGGTTCTAAGGAGAGAACTCCCTCACAGCTCCAAAACACAGCGTGTGCAGAATAGAACCTGTGAGGGTTAAGTTTGTGAACTATTTGCCAAAAGTCTGGAGTAGGTATTATTAAAGAGTAAAGTCAGTTTTCTAGTCGAAACTCATTTATATCAAAGCTAGTATTTAAAAACAGATTTACAACCTAAAATTCAAGCTAAATGGCCCTGGAAGAGCTGTATTGAGCATTAAGTATCAGAGAAGCTTCTCACTTTCCATACCTTTTGTCTGTAGCTGTCACTGTCTCAGTCCGCTTGGTCAGTTGTCTTCACGTGAACCCCCGGGACATGTGACGAGGGAGGTGACACCCACACATGAGGCTTCCTGCACAGCTCCTGGGTATCACTGATACGGCGCCAGCCAGCTCACTTGCAAATAGCAATAAAGAGCAACACAGAAAGCTGAGTGGTAAAAACTGCTGATGGGGCTAGAAGATAAATACCAGGTTCTCCATCTCATTTTTTGGACTGTGGGAGAATTGAGAACGGAGAGGCGGGGAAGGGAGGGAGTTGTCGTGACAAGAGGATTTGTCGAAACCTGAAAGCTGAAAATGTTTCGTGTCACTGTGCACAGAGGAGGGTTCTTCGGGAGCCCACAGAAAGGCTTTCTTTTCTTATAATGTTATGTTTTAGTCCATAGTTATAATTTATTTTTATCTGTGTTGGAAGACACAGTTTATTATTTGATGTCCCCAATTCTTTATGGTCTGAAATATTTTTAACTGGATTGTGCTTTGCAAATAATAGTTGAGACTGTCTTTTTTTTAAGGGTTGATTTACTTATTTTTAGAGAGAGGGGAAGGGAGGGAGAAAGAGAGGGAGAAAAACATCAATGTGCAAGAGAAACATCAACTGGTTGCCTCTTCCACAACCCAGGCATGTGCCCTGACTGGAAACTGAACCAGCAACCTTTTGGTTTGCAGACCGGTGCTCAATCCACCGAGCCACAACAGCCATGGCAAGACTATATTTTTATTCTGGTGCTTGTGACTTGTCTAAAATCAAGATTCACAAAATTGGTAGCTTTCAAAAGAAACAATCAAAAGACAGTTTTGAAAATATTTTTTTTTGGCATGGAAGAAAAGCCAGGAACAACTGTTGATTAGAATTTCGATCAGTAAACCTACCAGAATTTTGGCGGGGGGCTGTCCTGAATTTCCTTCTGTGATGCCTTCCCCTGAGGAAGGTTTCTGGAGTGTAATTTAATATTAGCGCTTTGAGAAACATGAAGAAAGTACATCAAAATGACGTGACGAACCGTTAGCTGCAACAGTGATATCCAGCCCTGACATCCTAGGTCGTGAGTAACAGCACAGACGCATCACACCTGCATCTATTTCGGGTTCTCAGTTTTTCTTTCTCAGTAATTTCAGTTCTACAAACTACAAATTCATATCCCCTGTATAGAATGGGAGATAATTTTATGATTGGATTTTAAAAATTTTTAAACTGTTGATAGTCATGTTAGATGTTAGCCATTTCTTTAAAAGAAAGGAATAATAAAATGCATGTTCCACTTATATGGGTTTTTCTAGGTTTTTCTTTATTGCTGTTTTTTGGTGGTTTCTTTTCATCTAAGTCAGGCATTTAGCAAGATGTTAAACATCTGATCGCTGTGGATTTGCTCTTCAGCCATAGTATTCATTCCAATGTTGTTATAGGAACATCTTTTATGTCGTGGAGGTGTGTGAACAGTTCCCTGTATAAACACTGGATGAGGTGGAGTTGAAGTTCAGGCACTGACAGGAGCTGCTCCTGCTGTATCAGGAGAAGTCCCCTGGACCCTTTAGTGCCCTGGCCAGTGGGGCTCCTTGCCGTGCTTGTCGGTGCAGACTCGCCTGCACTGAGGCTGACAGATGGCGGGTGGAGGGACACGCATCTCATCTCTGACCCCAGCACAACACAGCCAGCCGAGAATCAATGGCTAAGCTTGCTTTAATGTTCATTACTATTTTCAAAATGTTTTTGATAATTCTTCTGCCTTGATACTTATTCAATATCAACTGTTTTTAAATGACAGATTCTGAAATGCAAATAGCTTTTATTAACCACAGACCTCTAATCAGGCAGAATCTCTCATATACAAAAGGATCTGGAGAATAAAGGTATGTGGAGAAATACAGTTCATTGACATTGTCTGTTTCTAAAGTGGACAGAATTAAAGGGAATTAAATCTTTTATGTCCATAGACTTCCCTGGATGAATCTCACCCCAGTTTATCTCCCTCCCCCCAAGTTCATGTCTCTTTCCCAGCCTCTCCCAAGCGGAGTATTCACCTGCCGACAAGACATCACTGACAGACATCACGGACCAAACCAAGCCCCTGACCTTCCCACACCGAGTCCCCCCTGCCTCCCCGTGTCAGTTGGTGGCAAACCCGTCCTTCCGTTTGGCACACCCTGGCGTGTAGACCATCCTCGATTCCATACCCAGCATCCAGTCAGCCAACCAACTGCTGCTTCTAAACTTCAAAGCACATCAAGAGTCCTACCACCTCGGAGCCCTGTACTGGTGGAAGACCTCTAAGAGTGGAGACCTCAGGAGGGCCAGGATTTCCGCCTGCCTTGTTCGTTACTATTTCTCCGGGGCTGGGCGGTGCCTGGCCTGTAGTGAGGATACTGTAAATATTGAATGAAAGAATTCAGAAGCTGATCTCGAGTGTAGAAAATAACATTACTAAAACTGTACATTACCTTTGCATGAGTAAAAGTATAATTTTGACCTTTCCAAATGAGACTACTCTTGAGTTTTATAATTTTGGTGTAATAATAATATTTATCATTTATGAGCTGCTTCTTATATGCTGAATACTGTTTGAGGCACTTGGTTACTTAATTCTCAAGATAAGCCTGCGAGGTAATAGGAATCCTCATTTTATAGATGAGAAAACCAAGCTCCAGAGAAGCCGAGTAACAGCTAAGGCCGTAAAATGAGTAAGTGGGAGTCTGGGCCAGAATGTGGTAAGTTTTGAGGCCCTTCTGTGCTCAGAGCACGGTCCTGCCTCCCCTTGGAACAAGTGTATTTCCAAGTCTCATCCTGTGGAGTCGCTCCCGTGTGGGGCTGCCTGGGTCGGGCTGTGGACCAGATCCACTCTGACATCTCCGCAGGTGTACGTGTAAGTGCACACTTCTCGCTCACGCTTAGTGACTGCGGAGTAGCAGGCCAGTGCCTCAGCAGTGCATCTATTTTTGTCTTTAAAATGTTTTCACTTTTCTATTTTTAAGGAAAAATTAGCTGTGATTGCCTTCGTGTTTCTCCTAGTTATGATAATCTGGATATCCAGGAAAGCTGTTTGCTTTCTGAATCAGTCATGCAGCTGGATAGCAAGAAATAGTAACAGTACCACACCTTTGCCTGGGCGTGTTCTCCAGACAACTGCCTCCCACCCCCCACCCCTGCCAACCACGCACCACCCAGCCTGGGGAAGGCCCTGAGACCCAGCTCCTGGCCCAGTGGCTGTGATTTCACTGCTCCGGGGTGCTGCCCGCTCGTTGCAGTGGAAAGTTAGGGCTCTGGTTTTTAAAAAACAGTAGGGTCCTTTTGTAGTTGCTTTCCGTTCAACCTTGAAAATAATGAAATTCAGAATATGATAAGATAGTTTCCTATTCTAGGCCCACAAATTTCAAGTGATTGGCTTAATCTTAAAATAATGTTTCTCTCCTGACCCAATCTTATGAAATTAATAGTATCAGCTGTGAACACAAGTAGTCCATTGTTTTCCTAAACTTTATGGTCACTTTAGTTATAAAATAATGTTTTAGATCGTTGTGAAGACTTTCTTAACTTTTAAGAAAATGGGCCCTCTGTAGTTCAGTTGATAATAGTGGAAAAGGAGATGAATACTCTTGGGTTTGCCTGCGCGCTTGGGTTTGCGTGTGTGCTCTGGTGTCCGACTAGGCCGTCCTGGATTCTGGTGACGTCTGCAGCAAGTCGGATGCAGGTGTCTGCGTGCGGGCTGTGCTTCCATTTGCTCGATTTTCTGTGACCAGGTTTTTACAGTGTCATGTTACTCCTGTTTGTCTCCATGAGAAAGGGTCTGAAGGGCTTGTTTCTCTCTTTGTCACAGGAGTTTAGAACACTAAGACTGTCCCTGCGTCCTGGTGACATTTGCAGATCAACCTAATCTCACAAGTAACAAACACAAACTTGTTGTGGCCTTGCCATTGCGTGCATTCTCTTTGCACATTATTTTGAGGAGCAGGGCACACAAACAAAAAACGACCGTCATTTATTGGTAGTGTCTGAGATTGTGGTCTGAGTGCATCAGTCTGGGTCCGGCCCTCAGTCACCGCTCCTCCTCTTTCGTCCCTCTTCCCTGTGATTCTCCCTTTTTACCCGCCTGGGTTTCCCGCCTCTTGTCCTCTTGCCCAACAAGAGGGCTTGTGTCAGTTTTAGTTGTTTCTCCTTTATTTTTCAGTCTCCCGTGATACATAGGGAGCCCTGTGAGGCCCACACACCTCCGAGGCGAGCCTGGTAAAATCACCACGTGAAAGACAACCTGTAGCTGCGTCTTTAACAAGGCAGACGGCCTTTCCAGTTAGAGACAGGAAGAGCAGGACCGCACGAACACCTCTAAAGAGGAAATAGTTCTCAGCACAGGAGAGCAGGTCTGTGCCGCCAGCACACAGGCCTGGAGCACCCAGTAGCCTGTCCCATGCCGATGCGCGGTCACGGCTCAGGCTTGGCACCAGTGGCGGTCACGGCATCAGCCTGTGCGTGCGTGCTTCCATGCTGTTACCGCCATTGGCGTTCGCTTCTGCAGGACTGGAATGTGCCAGCCGTACAACCTGCGTATAGCATCTGGTTGCTCTGGCAGTTTTAAATTAATATATTGACTCATTTTGAATTAATATATTTCTGTCCAAGTTTGTTTATCAGTCTTTAATAATAGTAATAATAACAAATTTTCTATAGCAGCAGCAGTTACTGAGTGCCTGTGAGTTTGCTTAGACGCATCACTGAGGATCAGAGTCTCTCAGGACCTGCGAAACCAGGGGCTGGGCCTGCCGATTCCCAGTAAGCCGCCACCCGGCAGGGCAGCCCTGAGCCCGTGCGGGCAGCTCTTGCACACCCACAGCTGCAGTGGGAGCAGGGCACCTCCAGAGGTGCTGACCCACGAACACCAAGGCCATGGTTTGTGGGGAAGGTCAAGGTTTTAGAAAGGTGTTTTGCCGCGATCATCTGAAAACTCCACATTAGATAGAACAGAAAATCCTAACCAATGTTTGTTTTGTTCCTCTTGCATTTCGTTTAGAATTAAGTGTACACCCCTTTCCTGGGACCAAGGAACCGTGACTCATCTTGTTGTCACTGTTATTACTAGTTGACATGATTTGCATACATGCATACATAATTTACACAGTCAAGTGCTCTCTTTCTCATGCTGGGCATCTCAGGCGGATTTCTCATCATGCTCTCAGCTCTCTGTCACTCTCTGTGTGTATCCTCTGAGAAGGAGAAAAACCATTCCAAGTTCTAAGGAGGAACAAAAACGTGGGAGGGAATTCTGTAGAAATTAGCATTGCTGCAATAACAAATAAATTGTAAAATGCAGGCACTAACTTGTTGAAGACACTTGTTTGGAATACCCGGAATGCTTTGAAAGTGTTTGAGTTTAAAGTTTGTACAACTGAAATTCTGTCCCTGGGCAGGGCCCGAGAATTACAGGTAGAATAAACTAGTTGTAGGATATTTGATTTACATTTATATCTGTAAATGTTTTGGTTTTCTACAAAATGCATCATTATAGCATCATAGGTACTGATGACTTGTTACTCTTGTCCGTGGAAGTTGAAACTGCGAGGTCTGATGTTCCACGGGAGGTCACAGTCAGCTCCAAGTAGGTTCCTGAAGGTGACGTGGTGGAGGAGGGGCCAGGTGTCCCCAGTGCACTCACCTTCCTCTGTCGGTTCTCCTGACACTGACCATGGCTCACCCAGACCCTGATCCTGTGTTTCACTGGGCGGCGCTGACGGCCTCAGACCCAGCAGACCCTCTCCACTGCGCACGATGCCGCTCCAGCTTTGAATTGTTCCCCTCCTGTTGTTCTTGAAGTCCCATTGATTATTCTCTGTTTTCTCCTCATTCCTTCTATCATCTTCAAGTTTTGATTATAGCTCTGCCGATTAAATCGTAACTGACTTTGTGATTGTTTTTCCTCTCTAGTGGTGTGTCCTTCAGTGGCTTGAACGCCATGGGAGGTATTGAAGACCCTTTTCTAGACAGTGGCCAGTATTGTTTCGTGGGGTAGTTGTTCTGTTTTTTGGCACATTATGATCATCTCAGGGTCAGGAGCCAGGCCATGCATTCTTCAGTATCACCCAGATCGTGTTGATTTGAGATCTGAGTTGACACTGTCTAAGCTTCGAGATCTAGTAGCCTCTTACCCTGGGGCCTCTTGTGAATCTGACGTCTGCTCTACGCTCCTGTCAGTCTTGTCCTGGACACTCTGGCCTGGAAAGTGGAACAGCTGCCTCGAGCCTCTTGCATCCAAGGATGCTGTGTTGAGAAACATAATCTCAGCTTGCAAAAGCATTGACATTATAGTGGATTTGGGAGACAAATATTTAAATTCATTATAAATACCTTAATTTGAAATTTCAGCAAGTCATCTTGGTGTACTGATAGACTGACTTTGGGAAAGGGCTGGCAACGTCAAACAGGAGTTTTTAAGTGCGTCTATTACCTGTGTACTCACTTCTTTGTAATCAAACCCTTTAATAGACTTAACATTGAGAAAGGGAAAAAGTGGCTGTAATTTTAAATAAGCATTCAATTATAAGTAAAAAGCACTTTTATATCTGTTACCATAGTTACCAAGGGGCTGTCCTGTGGCTTCAGAGAACATGGGCTCCATTATTCGGAGTGATTCTGAGAAGAGTCTGGAGGCGAGGATGGCAGAGCAGGTTCCTCCCGGAGCAGGACACTTTCCTGGAAGGGCCTTTCTATACAGGGAGCTTCACCGGTCCCCCATGAAGTGTAACTGTATTTGATCATGAGTGGACATTTGAGTTGCGTTACACTGTTAGCCAACTGGGCACCAAAATTCGAACTTGAGAAGTCTACTGCCACAGTTTACACTGCAGCTCTATTTGGGCAGGGTCCTAAAACCTTATTTAGGCAAATGTTGGGCATTTCCTGTATTTGCAAATACCAGCTGTATCTCAAAGGAATGAAATCAGGCAAATGAAGATGAGGCCACAGTTTTAAATCCAGGGAAGCTGGAAGTGGCCACTTCTGCACCGTAAGAAGAATCATCTACCCCATTATTTGTGTGTTTTGTCTTAACGGTCTCTGAACGTTGGAGTTTCCGTGTTTCGTGGGCTTAGGGGTAGGTAGGGCTTAAATTTGTCTCATATCTTTGCTGAAAGCTTCTTTTCTCTGGAGACTGGAGGCTGTTGGGTGACACCCAGTGCCTAAAGGGGTCCTTTCAGAACCGACACAGGGTAGACGTGGGGTGAGAGGACTGAAGGAGCCGAGCCAGGGAGGATGGCAGACCGGGAGGTAGGGACGGAGTGCCAGGGCGTGGGGGCGTGGAGAGTTACAGAGCGGGGTAGGCGGAGTCAAAGGGTGGCCTAGAGCCTTCCCTGCCAGTTGTCTGCACTTCCCAGTCCCCCCGGCGGCGGGAGGACAGGTGGAAGGGACGTTTCAGAGTGTATGAGCAGTATCTGATGTTCACAGTCATCACAGTTCGATCTGGCTGCGCCTCCCACTCACCCCAGCTGTCTGTTCTCTCTGCTCTCCCCTCCTCAGACAGGCTCTGAGAGGAAGCAGTCTTTCCTTCCCAGCCTACGGTAGCACTCCTGTCACTTCAACCCCGAGGTCACCCCCGCCACGCCTTGTCCTCTTCAGTTCCTCTCTCCTCTTTCTTACTCACCAGCCTCTCTGAGACCCCTGGGTGCTGTTCTGTGGGGGGTTTTGAGGTTCTAAGGAAAGTCCTGGCCTTGTAACCAAAGGACTTGGTTTCCCACAGGGTGTGCCTGTCACTAAACTTGATGAAACTAAGTAAGCCTACAGAACACAGTTTGACGACTTAGAATTTAATAAGAACGTTGAACATTGTCTTCAGACAGTCACTCCAAAGTGGAGTAACTGCTGTTCCACCAAAGGGGAGTAACCTTCCCTGAGACAGGCTGCAGTCTGGCAGACAGTAGGGGAACATTCTCAGTGCGGAGAGACCCTGCCCCCGGCAGCTTTCACTCCCCTGCTCAGGACCGTCCTCCTGCCAGCGCACCGTCCGACCACAGACTGGTCACTGCAGTCCGTTATATCGAACAGTGCAGCCCTCGCTCACTGAAGACATTCAGGAACAGGGTGGTCGGCTGTTCAAGGAGGGGAGACAGCCCAGACCTCCTGAGGACAAACGTCCATGCTGGCGCCTTATGCGGGGCACATCTTCAGGCGCTTTCTTTTCTGGTTCTGAGGGTCTCTTGTCATGCAAGCACTGGACCTCCACCCTAAACACGAAAACCCAGTCCCCATCCTCCTAGAACACTGGCCAGTTTTAAGGAGTTTTGTAGCCACAGACTCTTTAGGAGCACATCCTCCTCAGAGAGTTTGATGACCCCATAGTGTTCGACAGACGGAATTCCTTTTCAGAAGGCCGTGGTGCAGCCCATAAATCACAGTGCTTTGTTGGCCTTTGTAGAGTCTGTGCGATGCTCTCAGCAGCGAGTTCAACAGGTCCGTAGACCAAATCCTCTGTGTGTTCTGAGCAGACTCCCGTTGCCTAGAGCGTGGATTCTGTCAGGCATTTGGGGGTGTAACACATTTTTCCCTTTGTACCTTCAGTATTTTTCCTTTGTTATTTTGAATATATCCTTGTGAATCACTGTGAGTTCATTTTTAGAATAAGTCAGGCTATAAAACTCCTACCAGATTTGCCTGAAAAGTTTTATTTTCTGATAATTAAAGAATCTCAACAGCTGGTAACAGCTTCACACTGAAGCAGTGACATTTTGGTGGTTTCCTTTTTTCTCTGGGTCCTGCTTGTCCCTCCTGGGGCATTTGAAGTTGCTACCAGGAAGTTACGTGGCTTTGCAGACGACGCTCATGAATTCCGTCCAGCTGATGAATCGGTGTCTGTACCCAAAATAAGTGGTGTCCTAACTGACTCGCTTTCGGAGGGAGTTTTACACTAAGTCGTCCTTGGGGCCCCGTCTGCCTTCTGTGTTTTGAAGCCCCTTCTTACAGTCAGAACTGCTGCCTCAGCTTATTTTTACTCATTCAGAAACTAAATAAAGCATTCTGACGCCATCTGTTACCTGCCTGCTGACTTTAATGATTATTTGGATTGATTTTAAAGGCCATTGTAAAATTGCATTTTCAGATTCAGTGATCATCAAGCACAGGTCCAGTGGATGTCATTATAGAACTAATGCAACTGACTGTGATTTCTGAGTCAGCTCAGATGCAAACTTGGCAGCTTGAGTGCCCAGAGAGGATGAAACCGAAATCCACGGAAGGCTTGTTTGTGAACACCATGCTCTTGGCAACCCTTCTTCCTGTGCCCTGCAAAGATGGGTTGTTTATAATGTTACACCATGCAACAAAATGATGTGCGTTTGCTTATCACAAAGGTGGACGTAGGCGTGGTGCACTTCACCCCCCTGGTGCGGCCCGCGATAGAGCAGCCGTTCAAGCTGGTGGAAAAGGTCGTGCGGAGCGCGTTCCAGTTCCGAAGGAAACACTGCCATCGCGGACTCGGGTAAGAGCGCTTCCTCTTCCCCCTGCCGTGTTCCTTACGAGATCCTCCATCGCTTCTTCAGAGATTCTGAACTTCTAAAAAATAACGCATGGTCTCTGTAAATACTACCCTCAGTTCAAGTCCCACGTTACATAAACCCTGACTGCCACTGAGGGAAAACAGACCTCGATTTAGCCTGAGATGCCACATTCAGGTTTTGTTTTAGCAAAAGGACACCGGAAAACCGACAGTCACAGTTTACAATGACCCTGCACTTGGAAGGTCACGGTTTCTCAGTCAGGACTTACACCACTGGAACTGTGGACTCTCAACATTTCTGACCCTACGTGTGTGGGTTTGTGGGGTTTTAAAAAATCTCTCATTAACGTACAGTGGGCACACAAAACTGTATTCCTTTCAGGTGCACAACATAACGAGTAGACATGTACACACCTTACATTGTGGTCACCACAGAGCGTCTGATACCCATCCGCTACCATCCAGAGTCATGACCGTGTCACTGCCTGCACTTCCTGTGCTGGGCACTGCATCCCTCGGGCATCTTCACCTCACATCCCTCCCTCTTCACCCATCCCTCCCACCACCTGCCCCTCTGGCAACCACCAGTTTTTCTTTATGTGTCTGCTTTTGTTTGATTTGTTCATTTGTTTTGTTAGATTCCACATGTAAGTGAAGTCATATGGTGTTTGCCAGAATTTTCCTGTCTGATTCATTTCACTTGGCATAATACCCTCCAGGTCCATCCGTGCTGCCACAGATTGTACGATTTCACTTTTTATGGCTGAGTCATAGTTATATCATCCTTCTCTGTTCATCACTGGACACCTAGGTGGTCTCCATTATCGTCACTATTGTGTTGTAAACAATCCTGAAATGAACGTGGAGTGCATATATCTTGTTAAATTAGTGTTTTTGCTTATTTGGCTATGTGCCCAGAAATAGAATTCTTGGTCGAACAGCAGTTATCTTTAATTTTTTTGAGGAACGTCCGTACTGTTTTCCACAGTGGCTGCACCACTTTACAGTCCCACCAACAGTGTGCACAAGTTCCCTTTTCTCCACGTCCTCGCCCCCACTTGTCACTAGCTGACTTTTTGATAACAGCCATTCTGTCAAGTATGAGGCAATATCTCATTGTGGTTTTAATTTGTATTTCCCTGAGGACTAGTGATATTGAGCATCTTTTTATATGTCTGTTGGTCATCTGTACATCTTCTCGGGAGAAATGTCTATTCAGGTCCTCTGCCTGTTTTTTAATGATTGTTTTCTCGTTATTATTTCTATGAGTTCCTTATATGTTTTGGATATTACCCCTTATTAGATGTATCATTGGCAAATGTCCTCTCCCACTCAGTAGGTTGTTTTTTTTTTTCATTTAGTTGATGGTTTTCTTCACTGTGCAGAAGCTTTTTAGTTTGATATAATCCCATTTGTTTATATTTTGGTTTTGTTTCCCTTGCCTGAGGAGACATAGCCAAAAGAATATTGCTAAGACTAACATCACAAAGCTTACTGCCTGTTTTCTTCTGGGATTTTAATGGTTTCAGTTTTAAATTTAAGTCTGTAATCCATTTGAGAGTATTTTTGTATATGGTGTAAGAAAGTGATCCAGTTTCTTTTCTTTTTCTTTTTGCATTAATCTGTTCAGTTTTCCAAAAACCACTTATTGAAGAGACTGTCATTTCTCCGTGATATATTTTTGCATCTTTTGTTGTGGATTAATTGACCAAGTAAGCAAGGGTTTATTTCAAGCTCTCTGTCCTGTTCTGTTAAGCTGTGTATCTGTTTTTGTGTCGATACCATAGTGTTTTTACTTCTGCAGCTTTGTCATAGAGTCTGAAATCAAGGAGCATGTTACCTCCAACTCTGGTCTTCGTTTTCAAAAAGATTGCTTCATTCTCACAATTGACTATTCAGGGGTTTTTGTGATTCAAGATGTAGGATTATTTGTTCTACTCCTGAGAACAATGCGATCGGTACTTTGATAGGGATTTCATTGAATATATAGACTGCTTTGTGTAGTATGGACATTTTTTTCTTTTCTTTTTTTTAATATATTTTATTGATTATGCCATTACAGTTGTTCTATTCCCCCTTCATTCCCCTCCCCACTGCACACTCCCTCCCCCACCATTCCCCCCTTTAGTTTATGACCACGTGTCTCAAGTTCTTTAGCTTCTACATTTCCCATACTAATCTTGCCCTCCCCGCCTATCTATTTTCTACCTACCATCTATGCTACTTATTTTCTGTACCTTCTCTCCCCTTCTCCTCCTCCCACTCCCCTGTTGCTAACCTTCCATGTGATCTTCATTTTTATGTTTCCACTCCTGATCTAGCTGTCCTCTTAGTGTGTTTTTGTTTTAGGTGTGGTTGTTAATAACTGAGTTTGCTGTCCTTTCACTGTTTATCTTTTTTTTCTTAGGTAAGTACCTTTAACATTTCATATAATAAGGGCTTGGTGATGATGAACTCCTTGAATTTGATCTTATCTGAGAAGCACTATATCTGCTCTTCCATTCTAAATGAAAGCTTTGCTGGATAGATCAATCTTGGTTGTAGGTCTTTGGATTTCATGATTTGGAATACTTCTTTCCAGCCCCTTCTTGCCTATAAGGTCTCTTTTGAGAAATCCGCTGACAGTCTGATGGGAACTCCTTTGTAGGTGACTGTCCCCTTATCTCTTGCTGCTTCTAGAATTCTCTCCTTCATTTTAATCTTGGCTAATGTAATTATCATGTGCCTTAGTGTGTTCCTTCTTGGGTCCACCTTCTTTGTGACTTTCTGAGCTTCCTGGATTTCGTGGAAGTCTATTTCCTTTGCCAGATTGGGGAAGTTCTCCTTTATTATTTGTTCAAATAAGTTTTCCACTTGTTGCTGTTCCTCTTCCCCTTCTGGTACCCCTATAATTCAGATGTTGGAACATTTCAAGATGTCCTGAAGGTTCCTAAGCCTCTCCTCATTTTTTTGAATTCTTGTTTCTTCATCCTTTTCTGTTTGGTCATTTTTTTCCTCTTTCTGGTCCACTCCTTTGAGTCCCAGTTTCCTTTCCATTACTATTGGTTTCCTGTGCATTTCCATTCATTTCAATTAGTTTAGCCTTCATACATTCCTCTAATTTGTGACTAAAATCCACCAGTTCTGTGAGCCTCCTGATCACCAGTGTTTTGAACTGTGCATCTGAAAGTTTGGCTATTTCTTGGTCGCTTTGAGTTATGAGCTCTGGGGCTCTGAGTTGTTCTTGAGCCATGTTTTGATCTGTTTGTGCCTGTTACATATGAGGAGTGGAGCCTTAGATGTTCACCAGGGTGGGGCCACCCAGGTCGCTGGTTTGTGAGGCTGTATATGGGGGCGTGGTAAGAGAGAAGCCACCCAGATTGCTGGTTTGTGATGCTGTATGTGGGGGCGGGGTCAGAGAGGGACAATAGCAGTCCCCTCTGCCACTTCCCGCCACTGGGGCCTGCCTGGTCTGTCTCACCGGTCTAGCTCGCTCCTTCACCGGTTTATCTGAGCTCGAATGTGTGACTATGGTCAGCCCTCAGTGAGACCACTGCCTTGCGCCCTCAGTGGGTCTATCCGCTACTCCACACCTGGGAATCTGCCTACAGCTGCCGGCGGGCCTGGGTTGCACGCTCGGGTCTGTCCAGTGGATCTTTCCTGCCCAACCCTGCTCTGCTGCTGGCTCTGCCCCTCTTACTGGTTTGGCTGAAGGGTTCGTTATTGTCAGACTTCTGTATAGTTCAATTTCCTGTGGTTTGGCTGTGTTTTTGTTGCTAAAAACTTTGTTGTTTTTAAACTTGGTTGTGCGAGGAGGTACAGTGCTTCGACCCACGCCTCCATCTTGGCGGAAGTCCTAGTATGGACATTTTTAACAATATTAATCCATTTAATACATAAACACAGTATACATACTTTTTATTTGTGTCTTCATCAGTTTCTTTCTTCAGTGCCTTATAATTTTCAGAATACAGTTCTTTCACCTTCTTGGTTGAATTTATTCCTAGGAATTTTATTCTTTTTGATGCATTTGTAAATGGGGTTGTTCTCTTAATTTCTCCTTCTAATTGCTTGTTATTGGTGTATAGAAATGCTAGTATTTTGTTGAGAATTTTAGCGTCTATGTTCATCAGGGATATTGGCCTGTAATTTTCTTTTTTTTGTAGTATCTTTGTCTGGTTTTGGTATTAGGTAGTACTAACCTCAGAAGGAGTTTGGAAGCATTTCTGCCTCTTCAACGTTTTTATAATAGTTTGAAATGGATAGGTATTAATTCTTCTGAAATGTTTGGTAGTATTCACCTGTGAAGCCATCTGATCCTTAACTTTTCTTTCTTGGGAGCTTTTTAATTACTACTTCAACATGTGGCAGTAATCACACTGTTCAGATTCTCTATTTCTCTTTGGTTCAGTTTGGGCAGGTTGTAGGTTTCTAGAAATTTATCCATTTCTTCTAGGTTGTTCAACTTGTCAGCATATAATTGTTCATAGTATTCTCCATCCAGAGGTTGGCAAATGCTGTTGATGTCTGCAACTTCCCTTGAAATCATTCGCTCCTATAGTCTCACTGCTCTGCCTAAGTCACGCCCTGGCTACGGGTGTATATAGTTGACTTTTGAAAAATAGTTTTTTAATTTTTCAATGACAGTTGATGTACATACAATATATTAGTACAATAATATATTAACCACAACCCAGTGATTAGACATTTATGTAACTTTAAAAGGGACTGCCCCAGTAAATCTAGTACCCATCTGACACCATGCATAGTTATTAAATATTAACTCTACTCCGTATGCTGTACTTTACATCCCTATGAATACTCTGTAACTACTACTTTGTACTACTTAATCCTTTCACCTTTTTCATTTAGACCCCCACCCCCTCCCACCTGGCAACCGTCAGTCTCATCTCTGTATCTCTGTGTCTGTTTCCGTTTTGTTTGTCCTTTGTTCTTTAGATTCTGCATATGAGTGAAATCACATAGTATTGTCCTTCCCTGAC